AGAGAGAGAGAGAGAGAGAGAGAGAGAGAGAGAGAGAGAGAGAGAGAGAGAGAGAGCTTGGTGACATTGGATCCAGACTCGACATGGGACTTCAGACATTTTGAAGAGGGATTATTTGGGACTTGTAACGAGACTTGGTGTTGACAACTTCCCCATCTCCCCCTTCCTCTTCTTCGTCTGATCCCTTCCTCTTCCCCTGTGTATGTCTGGACCTGGCGCTTCTTTCCTGTGTATAGCGCCAGGCCCCTTCACACTTTGTGATGGGCATGATGTATGTTTGGTCTGCGTTGAAACATTGATCGGGCTAGTCATTAGTATTCTAGCACTCTGCTTTGCTATCTTGTACTATGTGAAAGGGGTCAGTCCCGGTCAGGTCAGGACTTGTATCTAAGTCTTCCACTGCGCTATAAAGCACCATTTTGTATGTATCGGAATGCACATTGCTTGTTGAGATTCTACTTGCACTGCATTGTCCATTCAGTCCTTTTTATCACATTGCGGATCCTCGGTTTCTATGTACATCGCCCAACTGGGCATGTAACAACAACGAAGAAGAACAAGCAGAAGTGACGATGATGAAGAAGAAGAAGAAGAAGAAGAAGAAGAAGAAGAAGGAGAAGAATTGAAGAAGAAGAGGAGGAAAAAGAAGCGACAACGAAGAAGAAGAAGAAGTGACGATGAAAAAGAAGAAGAAAAGGAAGAAGAAGAAGAAGAAGAAGAAGAATAAGAAGAAGTGAAGAAGAAGAGGAGGAAGAAGAAGCGACATCGAAGAAGAAGAAGGAGAAGAAGGAGAAGAAGGAGAAGAAGTGACGATGAAGAAGAAGAAGAAGAAGAAGAAGAAGAAGAAGAAGAAGAAGAAGAAGAAGAAGAGGATGAGGAGGAGGAAGAAGAAGAGGAGGAAGAAGAAGCTACAACAAAGAAGAAGAAGAAGAAGAAGAAGAAGAAGAAGAAGTGACAATGAAGAAGAAGAAGAAGAAGAAGTGACAATGAAGAAGAAGAAGAAGAAGAAGAAGAAGAAGAAGAAGAAGAAGAAGAAGAAGTGACAGTGAAAAAGAAGAAGAAGAAGAAGAAGAAGAAGAAGTGACAGTGACAGTGAAAAAGAAGAAGAAGAAAAAGATCTCTCTCTTCTCTCTCTCTCTCTCTCTCTCTCTCTCTCTCTCTCTCTCTCTCTCTCTCTCTCTCT